GGTGGGTGGTGGGGAGTGGTGCCAGTATATGAAATTTCCAGTAAACCACAACATCCATTCATTAATTCTTTCTGTTTTTCCTTTTCCCTCTAAGTTTTATTTCCCCTTCTATTTCCAATTAATTTTGTAATTATAGATCATATTTATCCTTTTTTTTACACTAAGAAGAACAATCCCCAAAATGAATTCACCTCACGCCTTAAGATATATACCTTGCCTTGTCCTTTCTTTTCTCCAAATATTTTTGCAGACCTAAGCCCCCAATCGAGATCAATTTCACACATTCTGATTCAAAAAGAGAAAACATTAAAGCGCGAGTGTTAGTCTACTGCATGTTTCCTCAGAATAATAAACACTGTTTCTTTTGTGGATCTACTTTCCAAGATAATCTCACTCTTTCCATTTTGATAGTACTCTACCTTGGAAGTTCTGTAAGTCTTCTCCGAGTTGAAGTCGCTGACTGTAGGATTTTACTCAAGTCAAGAACACACTTGAAGGATGGTGGTGAACTGTATATCAATATTGGAAGGAAAGTGAGGGGTTGATACATTAGCTCACTAGCTGAGCTATGTCCTTCTATAGGAAAGTGGTTGTGATCGATAGAACTTATAGCATGCGGCCTCACTGGAATAAGCCCTTATTTTCTCTACCCTTCCCACCCAAAATGCTAGTTAGATTCTTAAAACACCTAAGTTCCAGATCTATCACCCAAAAAAGTGATAAGCTTATCTTGTCTCCCACAAGCAGTGGTAACTATATCTAAACTAGTTACAGTATCTTTGTTGAGCTTATTATCCAACTGTGTCATGCATTCTTGCACGCAGCTCCAACAACAGGAATCTTTCTAAAGTACTATGGTACTGACCCCTTCCGAAGACATAACAATCATCATGTTGGGAAGCAATATTTTCCTATTAGCAAACAAGTAAAAGTTTAACATTGAAAAGTAGTTCCATTTCCCTCCACCAACTACATTCCATGTAACTCATTAGATGATCTGAAAACGCCTTTTTCTAGAATATTGATCTCCAAACTTTTCTGCTTTGCCCCTCCTCTAGATTTTTGAGAGGCTTACTACCACTTCCCAAATAGGCTGAATAGTGCAACATGTTCTACAGATCTCCTATTTACTTCGTCAAAATCATATCCTACTCAGTTTATTCAAAATCATCCCTGTGGTTTGGTCCATTTAAACCAAATAGGCTGAATAGTGCAACATGTTCTACAAGTCTCCTATTCACCTTCTTCGAAATCATTCACTACTCATTTTATTCAAAATCTCCGCTATGGTCTGGTCCATATAGATTTCCACAAATATTATTGGGATTTGGAGACCCAAATCATAAGATATTTCTAGCTTTTTACTTGGATAAGTATTAATAAGTTATTCCACAGTTTTACAGTTGCAAATAGACTATCCTTGTCTGACTACTCCATTGCTATAAGTACTAAGAGAAAAGTGCTGAGGAAAAAGCATATGGACCTAACTCAACCCAAAAAGCTAACTCATGAGATGATTATTGTCCAAGATCATGTAAAGAGACTACAACCCATACTATCAACCAATATTGACATAATATGACACCACCATTGGACAATGCAACATCACAAGTGGCGTAGTGGGTCTGGCTCTGGGGCAGATCTAGTAAGGCCCGAGGGGTGGTACGCCACCCGCAAGCTTCGGTCGAGATTCTGCGTATATATATATATATGTGTATATATATATATATATATGTAAGAAATCGTTTATATACTTAAAGCGCCACCCGTCGTAATAAATGATACAAAGGTGCCAATGGCAAAGGGTAGGAGATTCCATCTTGGTGGTGAATGATTGAACCCCACTGGCAACAGTTACATTTTTTAACCTTTTGGCTTACTACATCATGTTAAATTTTCTATCATTATATATTCCATTCTCTTTTTTCTTCTTCTGTAATTAATATTAACTACCTTACTTTATTTGTTAACTTGTGACTTTTTTCTTGTCTCTTATTAGTTAAGTATTTACCTTTTTTCACACAAAGTTAAAATAACATCTTTTGCAAAATCTTTGCTCTATCATAACTATAGTACTATATTTTTCCGTTCAATCGATTTATATTATATATCAAAAAGACAAGTAATCCGAATAGAAGTCCAAAGTTGCTCAAACCGATAAAATATTTACTCTTTCTAAATGTATAAACAACGACACATTGGACGTTCAAATCTTTAAGGCACCCGGCAAGCTCCAAATCCTAGATCCGCCTCTGGTCTGGCTTGATACCATATTGAGAAAAATGAACCTTGGACCTAACTCAAACTCAAAAGATAGCTCATGGAGTGAGGCTTGTCCAATATCATATAACAACTCATACCCTCAATTTCTCTTTTAAGATAAGAATCAATCCAAAGGTGAACTAAAAATTTAATTTTTTGAAAAAGCATGAAATTTTATAGAATAAATAGGCTCTCATCTTACCTTCTTTCCTTCTTCTTTTTTCAAAATAGATTTGCGAGGAAAAGGAAAAATTATAATGAACTAAAAGATGGGTTATGCAATTTCCCTTTATACACACACACACGCACTCACTCACACACTCTTCAGAATTACCCGAAGCTCAAATAAAAAGAAAGGAACAACAAATAGACAAAAAAAAAGAGACGAAGGACAGTAAAAAAGGGTTTGCTTAGGAAAAGGAATTTGGATACAATGAAAAATATAACAAGTTACAATATGAGACTTAAGTTCAAGAACCATATAATCACCTAATTATAGCGTATAGTTCCTGTTGTTTCCTCTATTATATAAATCCAATGTACACAAAATATAACAGCGAAGCATTTCCATGAAAAAGAAAAAAAAATAAACATAGGAAGGAGTGAAGATCACATACCTGCAACTCCAGGTGAGAGTGGCTACTAGGGATGATCTTCATGCAATCAAACACCAAGAATGTGATAGCAAATTATTCAAAAACTAAGCTTCTGATAGCAAATGGTGATAAAACAAGAAAACTGAAGAGGTATGAGACCGCATATGGTGCAAGCACTAAGCTACTTTAGTATTTGAAGATGATCCCTTTGACATTGAAATCTGGCGAATTTCACGCAAATGAAAACTGTACTCTTTGAACAAAAGTTCGCCCTGGTAGGCAGCCTGCAGTTCAGGAACTTTTGCTTCATATCTAGTAACATACGTTTGTAAGAAGTCCTTTTCCCTAATCATTAATATAGTAGATAGCTTGCCAGCTTCTGGAACAATGCCTCTTGACCACAAAACTTGCATCACAGAACACCTTGGAATAACCCTCCTCTTCAGGCTACGCAATAGAAAAGCCGGTCTTTGTGACAGGTGTGACGGGCTCAAATGGAGTCTATCAACATAGAATGCCACAAGTGACCTGATATTCTCCTCAGTATAAAACATGCAAGTCGGCTGTGATCTGAAAATATTAAGGATCTCCTCATCTGAAAAGCCCACACTTCTGTAGGTTTCCAATTTCCTTTCCAGATTGGAGTGACTAACTTTCGACATTGTGGTGAAAGCTATCCTAAATGCTGGAGAAGTAACATCAAACCCCATTTCCTTGAGTCTCAAGCCAACCGCACTCATTTTTTGGGGATTTATGGTCAAGATAACTGGAGATTTGAAAATGAACTCTGAAACTTGAGAATCAGGAATACCAACTTGGTGCAACACCTGTACAGTCTGCTTCCAATTATGAGAGATGTTACGACTAAGGATTTGTGGACTTCGTCTGACGGCATCCATTGCTTGCACTTTACTACCCATGAAAGTCTTCAGGGAATCAAAGGATGGAGTCAGTAGTTTCCCTATGCTACTGTGAAGTATGTTGGGGTTATAACAGATAATCTTACTGCATTCATCTTCAGAAAAGCCAATTGATTGCAAGAACTTCAACTTGGGCTTTAGGGTTTTGTCCACCTTCGATGCTAATAAACGAGGGCGCATTCCAATTATTTTCTTCACTTGGGTTGCAGAAAACCCGTGGTTTTGGAAGAAGTCAACTACAGCTGAAACTTCTGAACATGCATGAGTGTCTAATTGGAGTATTTTTGCTTCACTAATGATGGTTTCTTTTGATAAACCATGCGACTTCCTGCGACACAAGCTAATGAATGACTTGCTCTCGTCATTTGTGACGTTGCTGCCACAGCTAGTTGACACAAACTGCACGAAGACGCTGCTTTTCCTGATCTTTGTACACAAGTTTCTTTGGTATTTATACAGAGATTGAAGCATTTTAAGAGAAGGGAGCTCCGTAAAGGAGATGTGTCAATGCGAAGATTATGCCTCAAGAACCACAAGTTATTAGCCTGAGAATGCTAACAAAACTTGGAACCTGAACAGCCTGTTTGCCAACAAGAGTGTGTGTAAGTGAAAGAATAGGACAATGAAATTCAACATTGGTAATAAATACTAATCATGGAAATCGCCCAAAATTCAGGAAAAGTTAATACTCCCCAATAATTTGTCATATTGTCGGATAAACTCCTTAAAATCTACAGACGCATAAGAATTAGGATAAGCATTCAGGCAGTTCAAATTGGATATGAAAATTTTGTTTTATTTAAGAAATTACAATCCAAATTGATTTGTCTAGTTTAATTATTATATTTAGAAATATGAACACACTCATAGGTGAAGCTGGCGATTTTGAAGCCTCTACCTCTCCTCTCCCCCCTCGTTCCTTTTTCAGAGTAGATTCTCCATTTATAACGCAAGTGCTCGTATATGGTATTCATTTTTTTCTTTTTGTTTTTTGAAAAGTGGTGCTCGTCTATGAAATTCCAGTCAACCACGACATCTATTCTTCTGTCTTCTGTTTTCTTTGTCCTCTATCTAATTTTTCTTTCCCCTTCTATTTATTATTAATTCTGTACCTTTAGATCATATTTATCTATTTAATACACTAAGAAGAAGAATCCCTAAAATACGTTCACCTCAAGCCTTAAGACATAGACCTTGCCTTTTGCTTTTGTTTTTCAGAACATGCTGCAAACCTAAGCGTCCAATCAAGAGCAATTCCACACATTCTGAACAAAAAGAACAAAATAAAATAAAAGGGGGAGTGTTATCTACTGCATGCTTCCTCAGACTAAAGAATAATAAGCACTTTTCTTTTATAACCGAGAAATTCCCAAGGGCCAGTGGCTCACGGTTTGAAACTTGTAGATAGTGAGCCCAGCCCTCTACCCTTCTCACGTAAATACCGGGCTTTTGTCTTGTCACGATTTGAACTCATGACGTGCGCATAACCCATACATCAAGCGATGCGCTCTTATCATTAGACCAAAACCCTGGGGCAAACACTATTTCTGTTGTGAATCTTCTCTCTAGTATAATCCCACTCTTCACATTTCGATAGGGAATTCTCCATCTTCGAAGTGGTGTAACTCCTCTCTGAGTTGAAATCACTGACTATAGGATTTTACTTAATTAAAAACACACTTGATGGATGGTGTGATTCATCATAATATCAAATGATAAGGAAAGTGAGCGGTATATACATTAGCTCATAGCTGAGTTAAGTCCTCCGTTGTTAAGTGGTTGTGATCTGTAGAACTTCTAGCACTCTGCCTCAATGGAATAAGAACCTCATTTTCTCTATTCAGATTCTTAAAACTCCCATATCCAATCATTTAGCACCCAAATAAGTAATAAGCTTATCTAGCCTCTCACACTATACATCTAAACTAAGCTTCAAACATCTTTGTTGAGCTTATTATCCAACTATGTCATGCATTTACTTATATGCAGCTCCAACAACAGGAATCTTTCTAAAGCACTATGGTCCTGGCCCCTTCCGAAAATGTAAAAATTATCCTATTGGGAAGCAATATTTCCTATTAGCAAACAAATACTATAAGTTTACCATTAAAAGTAGTTCCATTGTCCTACACCAACTACATTCCATGTAACTCATTTGATGATTTTAAAACATCTTTTCCTAGAATATTGGTCTCTGAACATTTCTGTTTTGCCTCTCCTCTAGGTTTTTGAGAACCTTACTAGCACTTCCCAAATAGGCCGACAGCAGTAAAAGAGTTGCTCAATAAAAGGAATTCGGATAAAACGAAAAATAAAATAAGAAAAAACAGTTAAATATGCTCGAGAACCAGATAAGGAGTAGGATTGGCACTATTCTTGTAGTTTCATATCCTTGGATCTATGTCATTATTCGTTGTATTATTTGCTTACACTGTCTTATTACATTGTTGTTGCTATTGTTTCTCTATTACACTGTCATTATTCGTGGTATTATTTGCTTACACTGTCTTTTTACATTGTTGTTGCTATTGTTTTTCTATTGCTCCTTCTTTTACGTTCTTGAGCCGAGGGTCTTTCGGAAACAGCCTCTCTATCTTCGTAGTTAGGGGTAAGGTCGGCATACACACTAGCCCTCCACAGACCGCCACTTGTGGGACTCCATTGGGTTGTTGTTGTTGTAACCAGATAAGCACCAAAATTATAGCACATAATTCCTGTTGTTTCCTCCATTATGTAAATCCAATTTACACAAACTTGAACAATTTCCCAAGTTTCGAATTTCTACAACTGAAAAAATAGATTACGTAGGATGAGTGAAAATCACATACCTGCAATGTAAACAACTCCAGTAATTAGTGAGAGTAGCGGACAAGTGAGCAGCGGTGCCTATTTTGCGGTCGAAGACCAAATATTCAATTTTAGCATTCAGATCCTTTCGAATTTTACAAACTGCTACTTTGGCCCGAAGCTCATATGTATGGCAAACTGCGCTAAAAATCCTCCTCCAAGGCTCTGAATACTCCCATTGTATCTTTTGTTTAACTAGGGGTGTTTAAGCGGGCAAGTGCACCAAAAAATTGCAGATATCTCAACAATGGTACTTTTTTTCCCCTTCTCTTATGTCATGGGTAACCTTTTGTCCCGGTTTGCTCCATGGGCAACCTTCAAGTAATGGGGTAAAAGGGAAAAGTTCAAGACTACCGACTTTCAATTTCAAGGCCATTTTAGTAAATCGCCCGTAAGTGCGCACACAGCCATGTGAAGGACCATTATTTAGATATAGTCAAAAATTACAAAATATTTGATATTTATTTATAGCCTGTTTGGCCAAGCTTCTACAAGCTAAAAAAAATATCTTCTAAGTTAAAATGTTCGGCCAAGCTTTTAGAAGAAAAAAAGTATTTTTGAGTAGAAGTATTTTTGGAGAAGTAGAAAAAAGTAACTTCTTCTCATAAGCACTTTTGAGAAAAATACACTTAGAAGCACTTTTTAAAAGTTTAGCCAAACACGAATTGTTGCTCATAAGTGCTTTTCAAATTAATTAGCCAAACACAAACTACTTTTCACCAAAAGTACTTTTGAAAAAAACACTTTTAAAAAGAGCACTTCTCAAAATAAGCTTATTTTTCCAACTTGGCCAAACAAGCTATTAGTCGTATGAGAATTAACTTTATAGCTTGTTTGGCCAAGCTTTTCCAAGCCAAAAGCTTTTTTTTTCAAAGTTGAAGTGTTTCGCCAAGCTTTTAGGGTGTGTTTGGTATGAAGGAAAATATTTTCTGGAAAATGTTTCCAATTTTCCCATATTTGGTTGGCTTAAATGTTTTGGAAAATATTTTCCTTATCAATTCATTTTCCTCAAATTGGAGGAAAATGTTTTCCTTATCAAAAGAAGGGAAAACATTTTCCAAAGCTCCTTCTCAACCTTTCTCACCCTCACCAACCCACCCCACCCCCTTTCCAAAAAAAGGTTTTTTTTTTAAATTTCAGTTTTTCCGTTACCATCCACCCTACTACCCCTCTATCCCCCCCTCCCGCTAAAAAAAAATTTTTTTTACCTTAAATTTTTTTTTTTTGCAATTTCAAATTTCTGTTTTTTCATTTTTCTGCACACCACCCCCCATCCCCCACGGCACAATTTTTTTTTTACTTTTTTTTTGTAATTTAAATTTTT